TGTCTGTATCTCCGTATCTCTCCCTCTCCCTCTCTCTCTCTCTCTCTCTCTCTCTCTCTCTCTCTCTCTCTCTCTCTCTCTCTCTTCTCTGCTCTTTATTTCTTCTCTTTTCTTCGCTTCTCAACACCTCTTTATCCATCCATTCATCTATCTATCAATCTGCCTACTATCTACCCATCTATCTATCTATCTATCCATCCATCTATCTACCTATTAATCAATCCCATCCACATAATACTCACACATCTACCTCTTCATCTTCCCATTTTTTTCATAATATATTTTATCCCATCATTTCTTATTCCTAAGTCACCCCCTTCAATCCCAGTCTCCCGTTTTCTTTCATTCAGCATCGCCTTCACTTTCCTTCCCTTTTATTTCAAATTCCTCTCCTTCCATGGTTTAACTTTTTCCTTCTCCCGCAAAGTGACTCCCACGCCTTCGCACGCAACTCTGCTATTCCGACGCAGATGGAATACAAATGGGAGATAATGGAGAGAGAGAAAGAGAAAGAGGGAGGGAGGGAGGGAGAGAGGGAGGGAGGGAGAGGGAGGGAGAGGGAGGGAGAGGGAGGGAGAGGGAGAGAGAGAGAGAGAGAGGAAGGGAGAGGGAGGGAAGGGAAGGAGGGATGGAGAGATAGATAGATAGATAGATAGATAGATAGATAGATAGATAGATAGACAGATAGATAGATAGAGAGAGAGAGTGAGTGAAAGAAATAGACAGCGAGAAAGGGACAGCGAACAAATGAGAGAGAGAAAAAGAAAAGAGAAAGAGAAAATGAAAGAGAAACAAAGTGAAAGAGAGACAAAGAGAAAATGAAAGAGAGACAAAGAGAAAACGAGAGAGAAAGACAACGAGACATGATACTAACTATAAACATCCACGTAGTTGCAACGAGGTCACCGTGGCCCAAGAGGTGTTGCAAAGACGGTACATTGCAAGAAGCGTGATAAACGTCTCTTGCAGAATGACGGATGAGGCTCGGTGTTTGGCGAGTGAACCCGAAATCCTTCTGCAACTTCTGCAATTTCTGCAACTTCCAGCAATTCGCACGAGTTTGCAAAGTTTTCCACCCAAGAAGAGTGGAGTGGTGCCTGTCTCTCTTGCGCCTTCTAGGGTGAAGATGGGCGGGGAGGGTGGATGGGGAAGAGATGGGGAGGGAGGTGGGGAGGAGAAGGTGAGGAGGTGTTAAGGGGGGGGGCGGTTAAGATGGAGATTGAAGGGGATAGGGTGGGGATGCTGATGTGGGGAGGATGAGGGGGGAGAAAGAGGAAATGGGCAGGGAAGAAAGTAGGCTGAGGAGGACGTCTCCACCTGGCTTTCCCCTCTCCACCCACCCTCCAACATCTCCCCCCGCTCCTCCCCTCTCCCTCCACCCTCCAACCTCTCCCCCACGCCTCCCCTCTCCCGCCCACAACAACACGAGGGCGAAGCGGATGCACACGAACGGGCGAAACAAACAAGCTGGGACGAGACGCCAAAAACAGAATAACATCGCGAATATTCAAAATGGTTTCCATACAAAAAAAAGAATACGGTCAAAAGGACAAGACATATGCAGAAAACAGGAGCGCCCTATGACATCAACGTGTTGAAAACATCTCGTGACAAAGTGACGTCTCGTGATGGACCAACCAGAATAAAAAAAAAGAAATCAGGAGTGCGAAACAACAAGCAGTTCGAATCGATCGCAATTTTGAACAAGAAATGAACTCAGGTGGCAGGTAGAAAAAAGTTAGAAGTGGTAAATACAGTGTTAAAAATGTGCTGAGACATAGAAAAGTCTTGATAAGGGTATCTTTCCAACTGTAAGAAATTAAAAAGAAATTAAGTGATAACCAGCAAGGGCGTGACCGGATGAGCTCCATATCGAAAATAAAAGGACGCTTAGTATCGGAGAATGTGGATTAGGTTTCGGAGCAGCGT